ATCGCCAACTTGGCATCGATCATATCGACCGTCGATGTCGGTCTACTATCGGCTTATCTGTTTCTCCGATTCAATGGCAATCAACCCGAAGTTATTCAATTTGTCGACTTTTATTGCGAAATAATATGGCGTCACGTAAGTGTCCCCTCCCTCCCCCCCGACCAACTGKTTTTCGGTAAATATTCAGATTTTATTAATAAACTCTCATTTTATTACCGCAGGTCACAGAATTGGGTTTCAAGTTAATGCAAAATGCGGTCGAAAATCGTGTAAATGTTGCCGTCGGCGTCGGCGCCGGCGGAGGTATTAACAGGACTTCGTCGGCCACTAATGTCACGTCGTCTTTGTCGTCAACAACAACGAGCCGATCGCCATTAAATACGCCGACGAGTAGCGGCTTTCAGGCGCATCCGCTAAGCAGTGATAGTCTGCGGCGATCGCCGTCGGCGAAGAAAATTTAATATATATATACAGTTTAATTGATTTTTGTTTTAGTCATCAGTTATATTAAAAAAAAATTGTTTTTATTTGTAATGTAATAAATAATAATAATAATACTAAATATAATTATATATATATATATTTGAAATATACGGTAAATTATATATATATATATATATATATATATATATAATATAAATATATAGCTTTCTATAATTGAATTGATTTATATTAATAGAATATTATACCAATTTTTTGGGGGGGGCGATTTTTTTTGTTTTATTTAATTATTATTTTGTTATATTATTTTTTTTTGTTGATCACCCCCTGTCCCCTATTTGGCACACGATTTTGAACTCAATTTTTTTTTAATTAATTATAATTATCATAAAAATATAATATTAATACTAATAATACATGATAGTGTATTAGTTTATTTATAATAATCTTATTATTTTTGTTGTTGTTAACAAACATAATATTATTATTATTTTTTTTTTGTTAAAACAATATATAATTTACACACACAATAAAATCTCCCGTAATTATAGATAACATATTATAGATATTATAGATATATTTAGTTGTTTTGCGATATAAAAAAAATAATTTTTTTAGGTTTTGTATATTTTTTTAGATATTTTATAATAATAATAATATTGTAATACAGTAATTAATATATTTAAAAACAAAAAAATTTATTATATATACAATTTTAATTTCTACTGTAGTAATTGTTTTCCGATACATTCCCTGTAATAATAATAATAATAATAATTAATAAATAAATCTTTTGACAGTTTTTATTATGTGAATAAAATTATTAGACTTCAAAAAAACAAAATTAATTGTATATTTATTTTTTAAAAAATAAAATAAAACATAATATTTGTTAACAATTATCTTGAATGTGTGTGAATTAAAAATTATGAAAAATTAAATTACAATTTATTAAGTATAAAAATAACTAATTTATTGTAATTATAAAAAATAATATTTTATTATATTAAAAACTATAGTAATTTGTTGTATACTGTTTGGTTATTTATTTAGTAATTTAAAAAATATATAATTTTAACTAATATTTATAATAGACTTTTTTGTGCATATCTTTAGATAATAATTATTTTATGAAATGAAAATAATTTAATAATAATACATAAATTATATATAATTTTAAAATTTTATTTATTAAATATAAAAATATCTAAAAAATTATTTTGTCGTTTATTTATTAATTTTAGATTTTTCATTATAAACAGATTAATTCAAAACAATAGTTATCTACGATATATATTACTAAAATATTTATCTAAATAAATAAATATATATATTATTTGTTAATAATATTTATTTTAATCGATATAAAATTATTATTTTAAAAAATATTAATATTTTGAAATATAATTTCAGGTGAACGTACAAATAATTTTTTTAAAAAATGAAAATAATTTAGTTTAATTATAATACACAAATAATATATAATTTTAAAATTTTATTTATTATATATAAGAATATTATTTGTTATAATAGTAGCTAAGCTTTTAAATTTAAAAAAAAAATTAAATTTAGTTTTTTATATTATAAACACATTAATTCAACAATAGTTATCTACGATATTATAATATATTAATTATTAAAACAAACATTAATAACTAAATTTAATATATATATTACTAATATATATATATATATTACTAATATATATATATATATACAGTAATTTGTAAATAATATTTATTTTAATCGATATAAAATTATTATTTTTTTTAAAACTAATATCTTGAGATATAATTTCAGGTTAACGTACAAATAATTTTAAAAAAATAATAATATTTATTGTTATACACAGAATATTCTGTGATATCTATTAAATATAAACATTATTATAAAACATAAAATATATAAAGTATTTTATTGACTTTAGGTGCATATATATATTGATATTCTCATATACAGTATATATATATACAATAAAATATACAATTTATTACATATACTGTATATGTGTGTTGTTATGACATTACACTTTAAGACACAAGTGGCTGAAAAGTAATACAGTATATACTGTACAGTATATAATTATAAAACAACATTTACAAGAAATATACAACCGTATGATACAACAACTGCGCCCATAGGAGAGCACCGGGAGATAGTTTTGAAGACCATAAGCGCACTCGCATTACCACTTAATAATGATGACAATGTCTTGTAATACATACATGCAATATATATATACTCAATATATTAGAGTATAAAATAAATAAATAAATATTTTTTTCAGATATACACAGAATATTCTTGGAATTTATTTATTTTCTAAAATAATGCAAAAATATTTATTTTTTTAGAAAACAATACTATATATATATAGAATTATAGTATTTATTTATATAAATAAATTCAACAAAAAAAATTATGAATTATTTATATTGTTTTTAAATGTTATAGTGCCTCAAAAAAATTAACTAATTTTTAATAACTATTATTAAAATATACAACAAAAATTATAATTATATCTATATATTATAAAAGTGCATTAATTTAAATAATATTTTTATTTAATATATAAATATAAAGTAAAAGATCTTTAATAAGGAATATTATACTGATTATTGATATTTAGACAATAGTTTATTCTCACACACAATATATTGATTAAAAAATCAACATTTATTATCATTATTATTATTATTACGAGTATATATATATATATATCGTATTGTTGTTGAATAAAAATATTGTAAGAAAATAATGATTATTATTATGTTATGTGATATCATGTGTGTGTGTTTGTTATAAATATATTTATAGTAAAAAAAAATATTAAACCATAATTTTCAAAACAACTATCTCATTGATGTCATCAAAAATATATTTTTCATAATAATAATAATATTATTGTTTAAAAAAGTTTAGATAATTTTTTTAAATATATATATTATATATATTTATATATAAATCAATTCTAAATGGATAAGAAAAATAATTATTTATTTATTAAAAAATTAATTTACTTATAGTAATAGTATATTTGTTTATAAAAAAATTAGATATAAAAAAACTAATACTTACTAAAAAAATCTCTAAACATATTATTAAATATATTAATAAATTTAGTTTTCAACAAAAAAAAATGTTGTGTATATTATCTATAATAATATTATATATTTTGTGATACAATACAAAATCAAAAAAAAAACAATGAAACGTTTGACTAAAACACCAAATCAGCTATCATTTAGTCCTAATATGATGGTCGCCGGCATACCGTCCACTACCAACACGGCGGCCAATCAGTCAACACAGCCGACACCGTCATCATCGCCGACTACCACACAAACAATACCGGACACCGATCCGGTATTTGTCGACAATCCTATAGTTACCCGACTAAACCAATCAAATAGTGAACCCACAGGAGGGTTAGCCCATACCAACAATATTAATAATATTATTAATAATAATCGTAGTTATAGTGAAACACAAATTATTATCAAAGATTATAGCTCTGATGATGAAAAATTAGATAAAAATTTTTGTAAGTATTTAATAAAAAAAAACAACAAAATTATTAATATTATTTAAAAATAAAATATAAATTTATATATATATATTAAATAATATATTAATTTCTATATTTATTTTAATATTATTGATTTAATAAATACTGTTGTTATAAATATATGTGAAACTATTATAACTATTATTAGGAAACTATTAAGTTTTTAATTTCAATATTTACTTGAAAAAAATATATTAATTTTTATATTTTATTATTAGTATTATATTTTTATTTTACTTTTATAATCCATAAAATACTTGTTTACATATAATCTATAGTTTATATGTAAATTATTTTGTTTACTGTATATACTGTATATTATATATATATGATAAAAAAATAAAAAAATAAAAAATTTAATTAAAAATTAACACTATAAATAGACAATTCAAATATACAATAATAAAATTAATTTGCATATATATAATATAATATAATAGTTTTCAATAATTTATACAAAAAATGATATTATTAAAAAATACTTATTAAAAAAAATCATTATTATAATCAATCAATAACAATTATTTAGTTAAACAATATTTTTTCAGTAAATATATTTATTATAATTTTTATATTAAAAAAAATAATTACCTAGTATATATAATAGATAATAATCAATCAAATCCATAGTAGGATACTAAAAAAATAATAATATTAGCAGGGTGCCTGTATTTTTTTTTATTTATAAATAACTAAATGTTATACTAAAATTAGCTTTAATATTTATTATATTGTAAAACAAGTTATAATAATTTTTTCATATATTGAATGATAATCTATGTTATATTAATATAAAATTATTATTATTATGACAGTAATAGTAGTAGTAGTAGTAGTCAATAAATCTATACATAAGTTATAATACTAATATAGCATTTTATACTACATTATAATTACAATAACATTTATTAAATTAAAAACAATAGCTTAGTAAATAATTAAATATTTTTACAGTATTTACGGTAATAATAATAATATGGTACAATGATTTGAATTATTTATTTATTTATTAAAAAAATAAATTGCATAATGACAAAACAGATAAAAATTATTATATATATATATTAAAATTTTTAAAACTATTTTATTGAAAAAAAAGTTGGAAATAAAAACAATTTATCTAACATTATATACTATATATATATATATATTAAATAAATAATATATTCACTTATTTATGATAATTTAAAAAATTATTAATTTTAATTAACTAAATATATTTTTTTATATATATATTACCACAAAACCATAGTAAACAAAGTGATCAATGGTGATGCCAATAAGCTAACTGAGCCGCTAAACTGCAACAACAAAAACGATAGGACTAGTAATGCTAATAATAATAATAATAATAATAATAATATAAATGATAATAGTGTTGATAATAATATAAAGGACATCAATAATAAAATGCTGGATAAAACCAGTGACGATAAACTAAAACAATATCTAATTGTTGATATGAATGGTGAAAAAAATGGGGAACAGGGGGCAGTCAGACAGCTCACACCTACCAGTCGACAGTCGCTTCAAATTGAAAGGATGCGAATGAAGAGTCGGGGAAATCACTTTTTTTCGGACGGAAAACGACGGGTCGACTATGTATTGGTTTATATGAAGTCAACCAATCAGATGAAGACCGCCGACGAGTCCAATGCGGCCAAAGCGCGCAATGTGTTTGAGGTATAGTAGAGAGAGAGACAGACAGACAGAGAGAGAGAGACAGAGAGARAGACAGASAGAGAGAGAGAGAGAGAGAGAGAGAGAGAGAGAGAGAGAGAGAGAGAMAGAGAGAGAGAAAGAGAAAGAGAGAGAGAATCGGTAGTTAAATGTCTATACAATACAAACTATTAATAATATCTATTATTATTTATTTATCAAATAAATCTAATGAACTATATTATTATACTATACAGTAGTATATTATTGAGATTTTTAAAAATTTATTTATATATTTTTTCCCCCAATTATTTGGTAATTTGTTATTTCTATTTAATTAATTAATTAAAAATGATAGTTAATACTAACGTTAAATATTAATTATTATATTTAAATAAAATGTTTAATACATAATTTTTTTAAAAAATGTCCAACTTTTGATAACTAATATTTTATATACAAAAATCATAATTTTTAATCAAGTTTAACAAAGTTTAGATAATTATCTAATTAATCTTAATTTAAAAAAAAAATTTATATAACTATTAATATTTTTTTGACATTTAAATTATTCGTTTCTTATAATGTTTAATATATGAAATGATATGAAATGGTAAACATAAATAAAAAATATATCAAACTTTTCACAATAAATGTTTGACATTTATAACCATTGAATATATTTAATATATTTATAGATATATAAATTGTGTGTATGTGCGTGTGTGTGTGTGTGTATGTGTTTCTGTATGTGTATGTATGTATGTATGTATGTGTGTGTGTGTATGTGTGTGAGTATATGTGTGTCTATGTGTATGTATGTGTGTATGTGTGTGTATAAATGTGTGTGTGTGTGTGTGTGTATGAATGTGTGTGTGTGTGTGTATGAATGTGTGTCTGTATGAATGTGTATGTGTTTTATTATTTGCTATAAACTTATATAAATAAAAACAAAAAAAACTCATATTTCATATTTATATAATAAAAATTTCATTCAAAATACAGTAGAAATTCTCAAAATATAGTATTACTAATAATAATATTTAAAAAAAGGTATATTATTATCAATATTATTACAAATAAAAAGTTTTTAGACGTTTAAATTGTGTTAACGATAAAAGATTAGAGTCTTGTTATTATTGATTGATTTTTTATTATACAGTACTATATGTTTATATATTATAGAAATTGCAATAAACTTTAGTTAAACTTTATTATGACTGATATTATTATTATTATTATCAATATATAGTACTTTATTATAATTAAAATAATACATGCAATATTGAATTTATAATTGCTTTATACTGTATAATATAATATTAATTTAATATATATATACTATAAAATACTCTATAATTATACTATAAATATATAATATATATATCGTATATTGACTAATAAAAAAAATCTATAATTTTGTAATTGTGTTAACTTAAATATTGAAAAACTAAATATGTTTTTCTTTTAATGATTAATTATAATAATAATATATCAATATATCAGTTTTTATTTATACAATTTTATTCAAATTTATTTATTTATTTTTAAATAATAATCTAATTATTATTATTATTAAGTTTTAATATTATAGTTTTTTACTGTATTATACATTTAAATAAATGTATATAAAATAATGATAATATTATTTAAGTCAAAAAATGTTTAAAAAATATATTTATATAATAATTAAGTTTAAATATAATTAGTAAATTATCATATTTTAATTATTGATATTATCTGAAATTATAGATAAAAAACATTTTATTTATAAAAACTAAATAAATATATTTTTAATCATTTAAAAAAATAAATAAAATTAAAAGTATAACTACTAATCAACTAATAATAATAATAATAGTCTCATATATCAAAAAAATAATTATAATTGAATAATTATTATTACATTTATTACTTATTGTATTACTATTACTATTACTATTTAGTTATTCATGTATTATAAATATAGCTAACTGTCCCCTAAATTTTTTTTTCTAAAAACACATTTTTCCTAAATAATTAATTAACTAAATATAACTACTATAATGATATCTATTATTATAATTATTAGTTGATTAGTAGTAATACTTTTAATTTTATTTATTTTTTAAATATTTAAAAATATATTTAAAGTATTACTACTAATCAACTAATAATAATAATATTAGTCTCATATATATGAAACAAATAATTATAATTGAATATTATATTGTATTACTACTGTATTACTAATAATATTTAGTAGTCATGTTTTTTTTTAAAAAAATAGCTAACTGTCCTCTAAATTTTTTCTAAAACATTTTTCTAAGTAATTAATTAACTAAATATAACTAAATATAATAATAATAGTCTCATATATATGAAACAAATAATTATAATTGAATATTATTATTACACATTTATTACTTGTTATATTACTATTAATATTATTCAATACTATTTAGTAGTCATGTTTTTTTTTAAAAAAATAGCTAACTGTCCCCTAAAATATTTCTAAAACACATTTTTCTAAATAAATAATTAACTAAATTATAACTATTATAATGATATTTATTATTAATATTATTATCATTGAAACAAATGTTTAGTCAAACCTGCGAGAGGAGGGCCTGGAACTGGAGTACGCCGACGATGTGGCCGGTTATGGCTATATATTTGTCAAAATCTATACGCCATGGATAGTGATGACCCGTTACGCTGAGATAATGAAACTAAAGATGCCAATGAAAACCATACAAACCTCTTGGAAGATGCTATTTGATGAGGACGAGGATCATGCCATGCGTTTTACAGCCGCCTATAGCCGTGACAAGGAATACCTGTTTGATATACCGCCACAAAAGGAACAATTTTTTTCGACCGCACAACGAGCACAGGTAGTCGAGTTTGTATTGAAACGTAAAAGTTTTAGTCCCAATTTGAACGACGCCAACGAATTTGGTATTAGCAAACTGCTCAACGATAATATCTATATAGCTGCTTATCCATTACATGAAGGTAACTGGTCCTAAACCATAACTGTCCTAACCATAACTGTCCTAACCATAACTGTCCTAACCATAACTGTCCTAACCATAACTGTCCTAACCATAACTGTCCTAACCATAACTGTCCTAACCATAACTGTCCTAACCCTAACTGTCCTAATCCTAACTATGTTCCTAACCCTAACTGTCCTAACCCTAACTGTCCTAACTTTAACTGTCCTAACTTTAACTGTCCTAACCCTAACTGTTCTAACCCTAACTATGTTCCTAACTCTAATTGTGTTCCTAAACTAACTGACCTAACCTTTATCTACCCTTTCTCTTCCACAAACACATACAAACATTACAATTATATTTATATATAATCACTACATAATCACTAAACTCTATATAAATATTTATAACTTATATAATTGATTGATACTGTATGAAACAACAGGGAAAGTCAACTCGGATATGCGTTCCCCGCGCCGTCACCTGATGGACACCTGGGCATCGATATCGCAGGCATTCAAGAAGCAACCGTTGGACGAAATTAGGCGCTACTTTGGCGTCAAAATTGCCCTCTACTTTGCCTGGCTGGGCTTCTACACATCAATGTTGATACCAGCCTCCATAGTAGGCCTGTTATGTTTTCTGTACGGTTCGGCCACTCTGGACGGCGATACCCCGTCGCTGGAAGTGTGCAACACTACCTACGACCGGGTGCCGCTGTGTCCGCAGTGCGCCCACGACTGTAATTTCACGAAAATATCCCAGCAGTGCACCTATACCCGTACGACCTACCTGTTCGACAATCCGGCTACCGTTTTCTTTGCCATATTTATGTCACTGTGGGCTACCGTCTATCTGGAAATGTGGAAACGGTATTGCGCTCGGATTACCTACCGGTGGGATCTATCAAACTTTGATGCCGTCGAGGAGTATCCACGTCCCGAATATCTGGTATTTATTTATTTTTTTGGTGTTGTTATCTAAATGCATGGGAAACTGTATGTATTTCTGACACCTACCTAACTGTCCATTTAGGCCCGACTGTCCAATGTGAATACACGCAAACTAAATGTGATAACACGTATGTACGAACCGTACATACCGTTCTGGCGCAAACAGCTTCCCTATACAATACTATCGGTATCGGTAGTATTGTTTTTGATTGTCATAGCACTCGGTGCCGTCATGTCGGTAATCGTCTATCGGGGTTCAATCAGGGGTGCCCTAAGTATCAAACGTAGCGGTTCGCTGGGGTTTATCCAACGTAACTCATCCATCATAACCGCCCTAACGGCAGCCATGTTGAATTTGGCCTTAATTTTGGTACTAAATCAAATCTATTCCCGAATAGCCTACTATCTAACTGAGCTGGAAATGCCGCGAACCCAAACCGAATTCGACAACTCCCTGACCCTCAAGATGTTTGTCCTGCAGTTTATCAATTACTACTCATCCTTGCTGTACATTGCCTTCTTTAAGGGCCGATTTATCGGACATCCCGGCGAGTTTGACGATGAAAATCTAACCCAAGAGGAATGCGCTACAGGTGGGTGTCGTTTGTTTTTTGTGTGTGTGTGTGTGTGTGTGTGTGGATGTCTATGTGTGTGTATGTAAGTATGTAGGTATGTGTGTGTGTGTATGTTTGTGTATGTGTGTATATGTGTGTGTAAGTATGTATGTATGTGTGTATGTATTTGTGTGTCTATGTGTGTGTAAGTATGTATGTATGTGTGTATGTATGTGTGTGTATAAGTATGTATGTATGTGTGTATGTATTTGTGTGTCTATGTGTGTGTAATTATGTATGTATGTGTGTATGTATGTGTGTGTATAAGTATGTATGTATGTGTGTATGTATTTGTGTGTCTATGTGTGTGTAAGTAAGTATGTATGTATGTGTGTGTGTATGTGTTTGTGTCTGCATGTCTATGTATATATGTGTGTATTTTTCCATATGTGTGTATTTTACAAAAATTTTAAAAATAGGAGGGGGCTATTCAACCCCTTCTCAACTCTCTCTCTCTCTCTCTCTCTCTCTCTCTCTCTCTCTCTCTCTCTCTCTCTCTCTCTCTGTTCTATTCTAACAATTAATTTAGTATGTATTATATTATTATATAAAAAAAAACTTTGATGAAAAATTAATGATCGTTTACATTAATGGCAGTTTAAGTTTACTTTAAATTGTGTTTTTTCTCTCTTTTATATTATACTGTAGTATTAATAATTGTATTATATCTAAAAAAAATTTTATTTATGATAATATGAAAATATTTAAATATATATATATTTATAATAAATTTTGTCAATAAAAATAATATATGATTATTTAAAAAAAAAATTAAAAATAAATTATAATAATTTCAGCATGTATTAACATTAAATAAATAAGGTCAATTAACCTTGATGCTATTTATATATATRTATATGCCTAATATTACTACTATTACTACTACTACTACTACTACATAGTGATATAAATTATATTAATATATAAATTGTATATAAAATTACAATTCAATATATATATATATATACTAGTATATATATAATATAAAATTTTGAGATTAATTATTGTACCATATTTTTTAAAAATAGCATTAAACTTATAAATTATTTTATTTTTAGAAATTATTATATATTTAAAATAATATATTGATATTATTTGTTTGTAGAAAAAAATATTATTAATTTTAATTATTTAATGTTTAATTGTCGTAACATATTATGCATGCAATCAGTCAATCATAATTTATTTATTAATAATTTAAATCATAATTATATTTATATATTTTTTTTGTGCAATACATTTAAATTTATAATAATAGACTAATTAATTGATTTTTTAACTAATTATTTTTTTGTGTTGTTGTTGTAATTATGTCCCTGAAACAATTTTTATAATATAAAAAATATTTATAATATATAATCTAAAATTTAAAATTTAAAAACAATCTATAATTTAAATAAAAAATATACTGTATTTTACTTAATTAATAAAATACATAAAAAAATTATTTTTAAACTTAAAAATTTAAATATATATATATCAATATATAATGCCGTATATAATCAAAAATTTATTTAAAAATTTAATTTAAATAAAAAATATACTGTATTTTACTTAATTAATAAAATACATAAAAAAATATTTTTAAACTTAAAAATTTAAATAAATACTGTATATATAATATATAATGCCGTATATAATCAAAAAAAATATTTTTAAAATATAATTTAAAAAAAATATATTGTATTTTACAATTAATAAAACAGTTAAAAAAATTATATTTAAACTTAAATTTATATATATATGATATATAGGTGGGTGCCTACTGGAGCTGGCCATACAGCTGGCCATCATAATGGTTGGCAAACAAACCATCAATGCCCTGATGGAAATGGGTTCACCAATTATGAAACGTTTCTATAATAACTGGAAACTCCGCAAAGAGGATACCATCGAAACCATGAACGTACCGCAATGGGAGGATGACTACGTACTGGCCAACTGGGGACCGACATCCCTGTTCTACGAGTACCTGGAAATGGTCATCCAATTTGGTTTTGTTACGATATTTGTATCGGCATTCCCGTTGGCGCCGTTGTTTGCATTGATTAACAATATTTTCGAGATCCGATTGGACGCCCGCAAAATGATACTGTCGTTCAAACGGCCAGTTGCACAAAGGTATGTCACCACCCCTATCCATCCTACCCGTCCCCCTCATACTAGTGTATATGTTAATTAATTAATTTGTTTTAAAAAAATATCCAAAAATATTTAACGTTGCTTATTTTTATTTATTCATCAAAAAAAATAGTTACTAAAATAGATTTTTATTTTTTAAAAAAAATATTACACAAATAGTTAATTTTAAAAAATTTATTTATTTAAATAATTAAAAACAAATTATTTAATAAACAAAATTAATATCTATTGATATTTAATATCTATTATACTATCATATAATGTATCATATGCTATGGGGGGCTAACGATACATATATTATTAAAAAAATATAAATTATATTATATTATTATAAAAATATATTATTATTATTAAAAACTAATATATAATTATTTATTCTGTATATATATAGAGTGAAAAACATAGGCATTTGGTATCGTATACTCGACTCTATTGGCAAACTATCTGTAATAACCAATGCATTGATAATCGCATTTACCACTGAATTTGTGCCCCGATTGTACTACTATTGGGAAAATGGATCCCTAACCCATTATACCAATAGCACACTATCCTATTTCAATGCTAAAGTATTGAACGGTCACCTAAAACTTAATGCCGATAATAGTACATTAAATTTATGTGTGTAAGTATAACACCCGTAACACCCGTAACACCCGTAACACCCGTAACACCCGTAACACCCGTAACACCCGTAACACCCGTAACACCCGTAACACCCGTAACACCCGTAACACCCGTAACACCCGTAACACCCGTAACACCCAAATAACACCCATAAGTCCTAATTACAAACAATTAAAACTAATTATTATATATAACTCTCAATATATATATGTATAGTTACGGCGATTATCGTGAGCCTCCCAGTGCAACCATACCCTACCGATTGACGGCCTACTACTGGCGTCTTCTAGCCGTACGGCTAGCTTTTGTGGTGATCTTCGAGAATGTAATCGCATCGCTAACATCGCTGATGCGTTGGGTAATACCCGACGTACCCCAACAGTTGCGCCAACAGATGCGCCAACACGCCTACCTGACCAATGAACTGATTATGCAACAGGAGTACAAACGTGCCAAAGAGCTCCGACATCAGACACACGACACCACCGATACCGTTGGTGGTGGCGGTGGTGGTGGTGAAGGAGGTGCTGGTAATAATAGTTCAAATAATAATAATAATAATCTTCAATACCGTTTGCCATCAGCCGATCATAGGCGACTGTCCGATATTTGATAGCATGTTTAACATACCTGTCCAACATATACTACTACCACTACTACTACTACTACTACTACTACTACTACTAACTGTATGCCTTACCATTTGGGATATATATAAAAAATAATAACTTTATATACTGTATAATATGATTGTCCAGTATTTATAATAATAATAATCTCAAATCTATTGTATACTTAATAACAACCCGTAAATCTAATATTACATAATTTATAGTTTAGTTTATTTACTATATATATATATATATATATAGTATTTATTTTTTGAAATTTGCATAAAATATTTCATTATATAGTAAGTCTATGCATAAAATCAAAAATAATATATCTTTTTTTAAAAAATAAAATATTAATCAATATAAAATAATTTATGATTATAAGATATAAAATTTAAATTAATTAAATCCATTATAAAAACACATTAAGCGACATATAATTTATTTTTTGCTAAAGTTTTAACTAAATTAAAAATATTTATAAATACAAAAAATTGATAATATATTTAAAAAATTTATCATTGTTAATACATATTTTTTTTGAATAATATTATATTAAATTATTTTTATTTATTTTTTTGAATATATAATTATTATATTTTCAATAAAAAAAACTGTCATTTCATCATAACTGACAATATTTTTCAATGAAAAATATTAATATATGAAATAAAATTATTATAAATTTATAGTAATAATAATAATAATAATAAATTATTGATCTGTAATTAATTAAAAAATTTATTTCATGAGTAATAATAAATTTTCTATCATTAAATGATTTCAATTTATTTTTAATAGACATATTATTATTATTATATATTTTATTTGAAATTTAACATTAAAATTATAGTTTAATAATTAATTAATTTTAATACATTATATTTATTTTTTTTAATAGAAATAATATTATTTTAATATTATAATTATTTCATAAACATTTTTAGTTTTATAATACTATTTTTAAATAATATTATTTTATTATAAGTTATTCAAGATTACATTTTTTTGAACCAAAAAAAAATTTAAAAAACTAAATAACATCAATTTAAAATAATTATATCATATATAAATATATTATAAAATCAACATAGATAATATTACTACAAATATAATTTCTATGTATATATGTATATCAAATACAAATTAATAAAAAATAATAATAATTATAATAACATATTTAAGTATCAAATAAAACTTGACAACTAAAAAAAATTAACTATTATTATTAAATTAGATATTATTATTTTAATTATTATAAAGTAATTGTTAATTTCTAATTAAAAATATTTAATTAATTAATTTGTGAAAAAATTTGTTATAATAATTGTTTGTTTGTGTTTTAGTATATTATATTTAAGAATATATATATATTATTATATATATATATAACTTTACACAAAACAATACCTGAAATTATATATTATTGTGCGATAGTAGAGTTGATGTGTTTAATTAGGAGTGTATGTGTGTGGGGGGGAGTGGGTTAGGGAACTCATAAAATAAATGATATGTAATATTTATTTTTAAAAAATATACTGTATATTAGCTATAGATATAAAAAAAATCTAATAACTAGTCAATTGTAGTATTAAATCATATTCCTCTTGATCTGTAATATAGAGAGAAAGAGAGAAAAATTATTATTAAGTTTTTTCATTGTTGTTGAGGACAGTCATACTAAAAACAAGCAAAACATATTGAGACATACCTTTATCGACAGTCAGACAATAGATAGACTCGTTTTTCATATTCATTACCACTTGATTTGTTAGTCTGATTTTAATATCGTTTGGTCCCATAAGATAGATGTGTCGCACCGGTATGCAAGTGGTAACAGTGCCTGTGCTGGTGGTCATACTGGTGGTCATACTGGTGGTAGTGGTGGTCGTGGTCTGGCCTATCATTTCGATTAGCCTGTCTTTGAGCTCATCGTTAGTTAACGACTTCAGATATATACCATGATATACTATTTGGAGACATACAGGTGCCCGACAACAACAACAAAAAAACATTACTAAATAAGTTATGTGTGTTTTTTCCACCCGTTCCCTACCCTTTCCGTCGGTGGTCACAAAAATGGTCAATCGTGTAGTACCTTGAATAGCGTGCAACGTATTGAATAACCGAATACCGTCGGTAAGGCCACAAATCTGTATGAGATCGTCACGTGATAGTCGACGCAGATCTTCGGGCGAAAAGTTGGCCAAAGTTTCGGTCAGACGATTAAATCGGTAGCGAACCAGCCAGTCGTATGTTTCGGTAGAACTGGCCGCCGATTCCGATAATGGCTGGACAGACATCGGCGACGATCGTGTCGACGACGATGAACCGGTTGGTCCAATCATACCGTCGTCTGATGTCTGGGGGTTGTCCGCCGCCACCCGAGAGAAAAAAATGACAATTGTTTAGACTATTGTATTATAAAACTTATAAAAAACAACTGTCTTTACATGTGGTGACAGTGGATGACAAATGTTGGTCGAACTGGTGGCCACATTCAACTGTACCGACGATGATGTTTGTGTGGTCGACAAGCTATCCGGCGACGATTGGGTGGCCGTAGTGGCCGTCGTTAGGTTGGCCGCTGTGACCACCAATGCTGACGACGAAGAGCTGCTGCTGATATGCGAACCGCTACAGTCGCTATCGTTTGGCGAACTGGTAGTCGGTATCATAACTTCGTCGCCCTCGCAAAACACGGTAAACAGTGTACAGTCGTAGGAGGGCTGATAGTATAGGGAACTGTCGGGCAATCGGGCCAATCGTTCCCTATCTGTCTTATGTTTTCGGTCGGCACCTTTCGATTTGAATACCTTTACCTACAAAAACACAAGTGTCTTTTTATTGATTTGAATTGAGAGAGAGAGACAGACAGAGAGACAGAGAGTGAGAGAGAGAGTGAGTGAGTGAGAGAGAGAGTGAGTGAGTGAGAGAGAGAGTGAGAGAGAGAGAGAGTGAGAGAGAGAGAGAGAGAGAGAGAGAGAGAGAGAGAGAGTGAGTGACAGAGAGAGAGTGAGTGAGAGAGAGAGAGAGAGAGAGAGAGAGAGAGAGAGAGAGAGAGAGAGAGAGAAGAGAGAGAGAGAGAGAGAGAGAGAAGAGAGAGAAAAAGAGAGAGAGAAAGAGAGAGAGAAAGAGAGAGAGAGAGAGAGAGAGAGAGAGAGAGAGWGAGWGAGTGAGTGAGTGAGAGAGAGAGAGAGAGAGAGAGAGAGAGTCGGTTCCCATTACCAAACATTGAGCTGAATCTAGTTTAACATTATTGGAGGCACAGTAGGTATCGATGATCAACCGTAACGGTGTTCCCCTCTCGCCTCCGTGTCGTTTCGATGTAAACTCAGTGGATATACAATTTAATTTGACAAATATCGACGCCTCCCGGTTCGGATTCCAGACAAACTCCAGGCCGTTAATCTGCTGGGGCCTGATCTGTATGTCAAATACACCGTAACTGAGGGCACCGTCCACATCGATTAGGCGATCTTTTGAGTGCAGACGACACCAGTTGGCCATTTCGTCCGATTCCCGATACTGTAGACGTTTTTCGACAAAACCTAATCCGGATGTTATCAAAAAAAAAACTGCATTAAAAAAATAATTTTAAGGGGGTTTTCCAGTGCACAATTCAATTTGATTGCAGCACTGGTATGATTGTCTACTAGTGGTATAGTAGACCTACTATACCTAGTCGTACACGTGTCCGCAAATTTTTTCCATCATAGTTGATACGTCCGACGATTTCGGGTACCGTTTTTTTCAACCTAATTTCGTACGGTTGCGATTGATTCATATAGGTCATAGTCATGGCACCGTGTTTGACACCCGATGCCGTAGCCGCACCCAGTATGTACTGAAACCAACGCGGCGAATCCGTCGATGGTTCCGATTTGATGGTCCGACCAATCTGTACACTAGACATACGATTATGAACGGACGGTGCGTCCGTTTTCGAGTATCGGCGCCACGAATAGCCGTAAGAGTTTTCCATATTGCGTGCCGATAGTAGACTACTACTATTACTAGTAGTAGTAGTAGTAGTAGTTGTATCGATACTACCGGTGCTCAGCTCATTGGTAGTAGAATCGGATCCGTCCGATGGAAACCTGTTCAGTGCGGGTGTGCGTATAGCACAGGGAGATCAATGGATAATAATAATGAAAAAATAATAGTTTCAATACTTAAATATTTTAAATAATAATAATATCATTAATAATAACTAAATTTTTTTAATATTACTTATGTAACCAAAAATTATTAAAAATATATTATTAGTATATATATTATATATATATTATATAATAGTATATATAATAGATATATAATAGTATATATAATTATATATAATAGATATATAATGTATATATATATATATATAATTATATATATTATTATATAATTTATATATATATATATAAATATATACTATGATATAGAGTTAACAGATACTTATTATGACTGTCCGGTGCCATTCCCAGGGGTGACAATACGTCATCAGTAGCGGCAGCGGCGGCGGAGGAGGCGGTGGCGATACCTTTGAAGCACAGCCTTTTGGACGCCCGACGGGCCAACTCTCTGGCCGTTAACAGTACCTTATTATCGACATCGGTAACAGCAGCAGCAGCAGCAGCAGTAGTAGTCGCAGTAGTACCACCTAAACTACCGGTGCTACTGATGCCAGTTGGCTGGTATGTCGATGGCGCCGACATTGATGGCACCATCAATGGATGTGGACTTTGTTGTTGTTGTTGATGTTGAGGTGTATGTGGTAATGATGGCTGTAGTGGTGGTGGTTGTGGTGGTGATTGAGGTGATAGTTGTATATAACTTTTGCCGACTGTTGGCAACCGACTACTGTCTCCACTGTCCGTCGATGTGACCGAACCGCACGAATCGTTAGATTGAGGGCTAAAAATAAAATTTTAATAATTTTTTTATTTGAAATTAAAATTATAGTTCAATTTTAATTGATTATATTGTTTCAGTTAATTTGAGGATCAAATATTATAATTTACTAGTAATTTGATTGATTAGTTGAAAATTGAGTTATTTTATAATATATATATATATAATATAACATTTATGGAAAAATTATTTGATATTATTAATATCAATATATAAAATCATTATAATTGTATATTTCATAAATTTAATAATTATGTTAAAAATATATGTTATTTAATATTAATAATATTTTTTTGTATATTGATATTGTATTCAAATATTGTAACTATTCTAATGTATTATTAGATAAATTATTTTTTTTAAATATATATAACATTGCATAATATAATGATTAATTTAATTTAATTAATTTTTTTATAATGATTTCTAATGTAATTTAATTAATTGGTTTATTTTTCATGTTATTATTAATAATATTATATAATCATTTGTATAAAAAAAATTATATATATATATCAGTATTTACGATAACATATAATGATAATAATATTAATAATAAATAACAATCAATATTATTAATAACAACAACAAAAATAATAGTAATGGCTTTAAAAATATCAATGACTTTCACAAAATATTTTTGTGAAATACACATAATTTTCTAGTAACAGGGTATAGGTGTGTTTATGTGTATGTGTATGTGTATGTGTATGTGTATGTGTATGTGTATGTGTATGTGTATGTGTATGTGTATGTGTGTATATATGTGTGTATATATATGTGTGTATATATGTATGTATGTGTGTGTGTGTGTGTGTGTGTGTGTGTGTGTGTGTGTATGTGTATGTGTATGTGTATGTGTATGTGTATGTGTATGTGTATGTGTATGTGTATGTGTATGTGTATGTGTATGTGTGTGTGTGTGTGTGTGTGTGTGTATGTGTGTATGTGTATGTGTATGTGTATGTGTATGTGTATGTGTATGTGTATGTGTATGTGTATGTGTGTATATATGTGTGTATATATATGTGTGTATATATGTATGTGTGTGTGTATGTGTGTATGTATGTCCTGAACACCTTAACATACCTGTCCGACTGAGAATAAGTAATAAATTTTTGTTGAGCATCGGTCGAGTCTTGGGCATCGTCATCATCGATATGGTCGACGGTTTCCACTTTGATAGTGTCGCCCAACGTACTGATCACTTGGTTCAGGTCGCGCATCAGCGACACATTGGTATTATCGCAGCCGAAACCCGACAACGATATATCAAAATCCTGTACCAAATCGTCCAAAAACAATGGATTTTCAACAGTACCGCCAATAGCTATACCGTGACCAACACTAGTAGTAGTATTAAGGGACGGGTGGTTTGGTGGTGGTTGTGGTGGTAGGTTAATAGCACCTACACCATGACCTTGATGTTGATAATGATGAACTTGTTGTTGTAGTTGATTATTATTATTATTATTATTACGATTATGTGATTTACTGGACATTATTATTATTATTATCTGTATCTCATTATTATTATTATTATTCAATAATATATAATAATTAAAAACAATTAGAAAAGTTTAATAACTTATATATTACTGATTATAATATATATTATGATTAAAAAAAATTATATCACAAAAAACAACAAAAAAGTATTTATTTTTTAAAATAAAAACGGCATAAAAAAATTTTTATTTTAATTATCCGCAATTAATCTGCAAAATAGTATCTGTAAAATAAATTTTGAAAAAAATTAATTAAAAAAAAATTAATAATAATATATAATATAATATAATAGAAATAAAATTAATAATAATATTATTCACTATTTACTAATAAAATAAATTAATTTTTATTATCTATAGTTATCTCATATTCATAATCTTTATATAAATGCATAAATTATAATTAAAATTTATACAAAAAAATAAATAAATAAATAAAATTGTACCATGTAGCAGTAATATTAGTAATCATTTTTTATAAAAAATAAAATTTAAACTCTACAATATAATTATTAATTAAATATATGTATACTTATTTCAAAAGTCAATTAAAAAAAATATAACTTTTTTTTATTTGATTTATAAAGTAAAAAAAATTATTTAGATAACAATAGTGATAAAATGATTTTATTTTTAAGCATGGTTATTATTATTATTATTATTAATATTATTATTTAAATTATTGAACTTTTATACAGTAGTGTTGCTATGTGAATTTAAATAATATTATTAATATAGTATTAATAATGTATATAATTTTATACTGTATCAAATAATTTTTAATAAAACAATAAATGTGAGCTTGATAAATTATGAGAAAAATTATCAATGTCAAGTTTAAAGTTCATAATTGCAGTTTATATATATATATATATTATAATTATAATATGTTTAATGGTGTAGAAAATACATATTAAAACACTTAAGTAGTTATTAAAAATTTATGATTACAATTACTACTACTACTACTACTATAAATAATAATAATAATAATAATAAACTGTTTACATTAAATTATATTTTTCTAAAAATTTTTAAAATTATAAAATATTTACATAATTACTGTTGATGTCTATGAAATAAATTAAAAAAATTTTGGACACTATCTTAGATAATGTCAAAATATTATATATATTTTTAAAATTAATTATTAGTAATTATTAATTATTATCATTAATGATAGTACTGTAGTAATAGTAGTTGAAGTGTAGTACAAGTAGTAATATTATTCATAAAAAATAAATAATCAATAAAACAGTTAATAATAAATTAATACTTATTTTGTTAACTGTTTTCTAACTAATAAATTGTTATTCAATAATATATATATATATATACTTTAATTAATTTTTTTCAATAACTTAATACATATAAATATTGAGTTAAGTACTATTGTATAAAGTAGTTAAATATATTTATAATAACTAATAAATATACTGTATATACAGTATATATATATATAAATTTTATTTAAATATAAACAGTTTGTTAATAATAATATTATTGCAAAAATTAACATTATAAATTATTATATAATAAAACATCTAACATCAATCATTATAATATATATAAATTTTATATATAATAAAAATATAAAACTTATAAATTATATATTGATTTTGTAAAAAAATAATTTTTTTGATGATCTTTATTATTATTATTACTATTCAGAAAATATTTTAAAAAGTTAAGACACACACACACACACACACACACACACACACACACACATACATACACACACACACACATACATACATATACACACACACACACACACACACACACACACACACACACACATACATACATACACACACACACACACACACACACATACATACATACATACACACACACACATACACACACACACACACACACACACACACATACACACACACACACACACACACACATACATACATACAWACACACACACATACACATACACATACRYATACACATACACATACATATACACATACACATACACATACACATACATACATACACACACCCATACACACATACATACATAYATACACACACACACACACACACACACACACACACACACAYACATACATACATACACACACATACATACATACATACATACACATACACATACACATACACATACACATACACATACACATACACATACACATACACATACACATACACATACACATACACATACACATACACATACACATACACATACACATACACATACACATACACATACACATACACATACACACACGTGTCATCATATTATTATTATTATTATTACTTAATATTATTATAGTAAACATGTTTTCAACGACATTTAATATACAGTATAATACTATTACTACTAATAATACTCTATATTACAAATATGACACTAAATTATTACATAATATAATATATTATATTTTATTAATATATATATATATGTTGTAATATATTGTAATAATATATAATAATTAGAGGTAAATAATTAAAAAATTATAATATGACAGTTAATATTTTTTTTGTTTTGTTAAAAACTTAATTTAATAAAAATATTTTTTAAAGATCATTAAATTTTTTTAGTAGTTAATAATGTATAAACACATGATATAAAAATTATTATTATTATTATTAATATTGTTTAATATTATTATTATAAACAAACAGTTATTAAAATATAAATATTTTTTTAAAATTTAATATAAATAGTATAATATTTTAGTATTTACTTTATATCTAATTTTATTTTACATTTAAATATTTAAAAAAATAATAATTTAATCGTATTGTATAAAAAAATGTTTTTAAATTGTACTATTTTATTTAAAAAAAAAATTAACATTGAAATTTTAAATTTATAAAAAATAGTTTATTTTCTAGATTTACATTTAAATTCAAATAAATTCATAACATGCTATTGTTAAATTATAATAATTATTTTAATTTAATTATAGATTTTTAATTATATATATAAATAAATATATATATATATATATAATTAAATAATAATAAAATTAAAATCAATATTTATTTTTGACAATAATTAGGAAATAAAATTTAGTTTCAATTATCAATATAAAAACTATAGATTAATATTTTTTTAATATAAAAAATTAGTTGAATTTAATTTAATAATAATTTCTATCTATTTATATTTATATATTATATTTATAAACTTTTTTCAAATTACACTTACCGTCACTTATATTAATGTCAATTAAAATAAATTGACTGTCAATTAATATTTTTTTTATTATTATTATTAGTTATAACTTAATTTTGATAGCAATGACACCACACATACACACATCACAAGTATATTAACTTAATTAAATAAAATAATAATATTATTATCAAGCTAATTATTATTATTGTTGTCAATATTAATTATGATAATCATCATCACTAACTGGTATAACTTGTCATCAAATAACACACAAAATAAAAACTAATAAAACATTTTTAATTTTACATTTATATAAATTAGTTTATTATTATTATTATTAAAAAATGTGTATTAAAAAATTGTATATAATTTTAAACGAAAATTTTTATAATATCAACTTTGATAGAGAGAAATATCAAAAATATTGTGTATTAAAATACTATATATATATATATAATTGAATTTTTAATTTTAATTTTTTAGTTTTTTTATAATAAAAATATTGTTAGACATTCTGATAGGAATTTTCCGTTTTAGTGATTTGTATTCAACAGTTAACACGGTTTAGGGATTTTGTTGTTTATATATGTTGTTTTCAATTACAATAATCAACAATTTTGGTACTATTTTAATCAATGTAACTCAATAGTTTTAGCTAGTTGAAATTAGTTACAATTTTACATTGGTTAGTGTTGTTAGCATGGTTACTTATGATTTAGTAAAACCGGTTAACTGTATGTTTGGGTAAACACTTGTACAGTGCATGCACTGTACAGTTGTTTGTGTGTGTATGTGTGTGTATGGGTATGTACTACACTATGTACTGTGTGTATGTGTATGTGTATGTGTATGTGTATGTGTATGTGTATGTGTATGTGTATGTGTATGTGTATGTGTATGTGTATGTGTATGTGTATGTGTATGTGTATGTGTATGTGTATGTGTATGTGTATGTGTATGTGTATGTGTATGTGTATGTGTATGTGTATGTGTATGTGTATGTGTATGTGTATGTGTATGTGTATGTGTATGTGTATGTGTATGTGTATGTGTATGTGTATGTGTATGTGTATGTGTATGTGTATGTGTATGTGTATGTGTATGTGTATGTGTATGTGTATGTGTATGTGTATGTGTATGTGTATGTGTGTATGCGTGCATGTGTTGAAAACTTATACTTAAACTATTCAATGCATAGTTTTTAAAAATAGTTATTTACTACTATTATATGATATCTAATAAATAAATCTAATATAAAATACATTACTATATATATATATATTATAAAATAAATTATATAGATTTTTCTAGTTTTATATACAGTAGTACTCATATACAGTGTATGTAAAGTTATAATTATTATTTGATGGTATTACTAGAGACAACTTGTGGATTTTATTTAAAAACTTATACACCATTATTATTTTATTTTAATAATTTAATTATTATTATTATTATTTTTAAACACTTAATAAAATTATTAAAAATTAATTTATAAATCATATTACTAAAAAATAATATATAAATAAAAATTTGAAAATTCTAATTTTTTATTTAATAAAAACAACATATATATATATACACAATAAAATTAATTTAATTAACACAAAATAAAAACTTACCTTGCTACAATTTTCAAATTGTTTGTTTGTTATTGTTGTTGATTTATGAATTTTTTTTTATGAATTAATAATAACAATAATTATTATATTAATATTATTTGATAACCAATAAAATAAATAAATTAATAAATAATATCACTTCAAATAACACTATAGAGTTCACAATAGAAAATTAATACAATCATTAAAAATAGATAAACAAA